AAGACCATACCTTCTTCAAGGTCATCGTCGGTGATTTCAACGCTAAGATCGGACCAAGAAGAACGGCTGAAGAACTTCACATCGGAACTCACGGAACGGAGTGGAATGAGCAGGGTGAAAGGCTGTCTGAGTTTATCATGTCGACCCATACCATCCATGGTAACTCGCAGTTCCAGAAGCCCTACTCTCTACGCTGGACATGGGAGTCTCCTGGTGGACAATTCCATAATGAGATCAACCACATCATCTTCAATCGAAGGTTTTGCCTGACCGATGTCGCTGGATCCGATATCGCCTCCTTCGCGCAAGATTCCGCTTTTCGATGCGAGGAGAGAGAGCCGCAAAGTTCAAGAAGCGAAGCCCCAAGACCGTCATCAACTGGGATCACTTCACTTCTCTCGCTGGGCTCTGGGATTCCGTCATCGACAACATCGACGAGGAATACGAACGGCTTGTCGCACATCTTCACGACTGCGCCAAGAAGTCAGAGAGTTCCAAGATTACCAAGAAGCGTCTATCTCTGGAAACTCTCGAGCTGATTCGCCAACGTGGAGCCGCACGAGCCGCAGGCAATTACCAGCTGACGTCTGAGCTTGCGAACCTATGCAGAGAAGAGCGACGCAACGCCCGCCGCGACTTCGCCAACTGTAAGACCAAGATGACCGCCCTCCGACGTCCGGATGGAACAATCACCGCATCCAGAAGGGCAATGGAGAAGGTCATCCACGACTTCTACTCGGATCTCTTTGACAGCCACGTCCACCTGCCACCATACCGCTTGGAGCAGGATGGATACGTCGTTCCTGCAGTTCTCCCTTCCGAAGTCCGACACGCCATCTCGGTGAAGAATCGTACGGCACCCGGTCCCGACAGGATCAGACCCGAACATCTGAAGAATCTTCCGCCAGTTCTCGTCAAAACTCTGGCTCGACTCTTCACGCGCTACCTGTCGGAATGGTACCCACCTCGTGGAAAACCAGCAAGACTGTGTTGCTGTACAAGAAGGGAGACCTGTGCGACATTGGCAATTATCGCCCAATCTGCCTGCTGTCTGTAGTCTACAAACTCTTCACGCGAGCCATCCTGAACAGGATTGGTAGAACCGCTAAGTCGAAGGACAGCCATGCGTAGCAAGCAGGGTTCAAAAAGGATTCAGCCGATCCGATCACCCCACGAAGAACTAAGGCTCATCGAAGTAATCGGCGATGGGTAGCACAGATGCCGCTATTGTCTCACGTTCCATCCCGACTGGAGAAAGCCTGTCAACTCTGTTGAGCGGCCATCGAAGCTCCGGGCAACTGGTGTAGTCCTACTCAGAACATCAGGATTCTTTGAGCTCTACAACAACTCGAGAACGTCATGCGTCAACTGGAATGGGAAGGAATGGGATTGAAGATTGACAGTCTGCAGCTACACCATGCCCGATTTGCTGACGACCTCGTTTCGATAACACCAAACATCGAGCAAGCGGAACGAATGTTGGCTGATTTCCACTGAAGCCGCGTGTGAAAAATCGTTCTAACTACAGCTAATACTGGCCAAGACGATGTTCATGAAAAACGGATGGGTTTCTAATGCCCGATTACGCTCAACGGAAGGACCATCTCTTAATGCTCTAGCTATGTGTACCAGGGTCGTGGAGTCAACATGATGAATGATCTAGCATCAAAGCGGAAGCGAGCGGTTTGGGGAACTTCAGAGAACAATCCACAGGAAAGCGAGAAAGACGAGGAAAAAACAAGGCTCACGTGCCCACGTCTTCGATTCCGCGGTCCTTCTGGCTTTTGACGTCGCCTCAGAGACTTTGGACTACATACGAAAGCAGATGAGCGCGTTGCGATTATTCAAGAGCGCCATCGAAAGGGCGATGCTCGGAGTTTCCCGCTACACGCAAGTGAGAGAGGGAATGCGGAGCTCCGTACTCCGCCAACGATAGATGGGCAGCGACGCCGCCGCATTTGCCAAGGTTTCGAAAATGAGGTGGGGACACTTCATGCGTTGGACGGCCGCTGGACTCGAGCGATCACCGACTGCGCCATTAGCTGGCAATTAGGCGCCACTGAGCGCCAGTTCGGCGACAGGACCTTGCCGAAACAAAGTCTATATAAACTTGCATAATGGGGTTTATCGGTGCCTTGATCTTGGAAGTAACATTCATTTCTAGCCACGGCGCCCTTCGGTGCCATTTGGAGCCGAAGTGGTGCCACAAACTTTTGTCACCAATGTTTATAAACTCGCACCTGATTTGTGGAATGGTCACGTGATCTACAACCTGCACAGCATAGAAAAAAAAAGAAACACAAAAATCACGTGAGCTGTGTTGGTCTGCTGTTGCGAACTGCTTTGATGCCGGCGGTAAGCATGTGCCAAGCGCACAAGATTTTCTTATGCACGCCGGAGACACTTCAGATCCACTCTGGTTGATTTGGTGATCTGAGGTATCTTTCGGCCGACTCTTGACTCCTGATTTCCTTGAAGTTTCCTCCATCAATTAGACTGATGCATAGTCCGATCGATATGCCTTGGTCGGCTCAGACTGTATGCGCCTTATTTAATGTCACGTGAAGTGACATAATAGACCATGCATCAACAGACACTAGGTGAGCGCAATAGCCGACTGCGAACGCGCGAGCTCACAGTGATTTTGTATGCTCTGCAGGATGATCGATCACGTGATCACTTCGCCAAAAGCAAGGCTGTGTTTGTAAAGATTTTGTGAAAAAAAAGTAAGTGCGGTCAAAATCGCAATCGCTAAAGATGGCACCGAACGGCAATGACGCCCATGGCAAGGAATGAATATTACTTCCAAGATCAGGGCACCGATAAACCCCATTATGCAAGTTTATACAGATTTTTTTGGCAAGTCTTATCAGGGCCGAAACTGGCGCTCAGATGCGCTAGTGGCGCCTAATGCGCACCTAATGGCGCCACGGCTAGAAATGAATGTCACTTCGTGAACAGGGCACTGAATAGCCCCAGTAAGCAAGTTTATACAGATGTTGTTGAGAAAAGTTGTGGCGCTAAGGTGTCGCCAAAGTGGCGCCAAATGGCGCCGGCCAAAACCCAATGTCGTAGAATATGAGCATACCCTCGGATACAGCTCGGCGAGCTGATTCTAGCCATATATGGGTATCCATACAAAAAGTCAACAGGAACAGCTCTATAACGAAAAAACGAAAAAACGCGGATCGGCGTTTTTTTCGTAATTTTTTGAACACTTACGGCGGGTACTGTACATGTTGTTTACTCCAAACGACTGTAGAAAAACGGCAGAGAAGTGGGCTGGCGCTTAAGAGAATGTTCACACTGTCACGCTGCGATATCGTTATATGCACCAATTTCTTTTCAAACTGGACATTTCTCAAAACAAATCGAGCACTTTTCAAACCAATTCGGACACTCTTCAGATCAAAACTGACTTTTCTGGGATCAATCGCGCATATCACTTACAAAGAGCAGTTGAGAAGTGGGCCACACTACTACTGCTGCAAGCCCCGCCCCATATCCCAGCCCACGTGCCGTCGCGGTCACGACTCTCCAAATTTTTTATGAAGTTCTGCTTATTCGCCTTTTTTTTTGCTTTTGCTAGTCGCCCACATAGTTTAACTGAAAAGGATTGGTGCCGACACTGATGTGACTCCACCCTTTCCAATGAAGGTATTACAAGCTTTTAGTTCTTACATATTCTTTCAACGTCGTTCTTTTCACATCCACTATTTACAAAACGAATGTAGTCATAGCCAAGCACTTATACACTGGCACGCTAAGCTCCATCCCTTGGGCCACGCTCATCTCGTATAACTTCGTAGAATTTTGGCTTTTTTTCCGAATTTTGATTTTTTTAGCCGTGACAAATGGTTTCGCCAGCTGATAGAAGCCTCGCCCACTTTGTAGAAACCCGCTCGCTTCTGAAATGATCCATATTGGCAGGCCAGTTGCTGGCAGATTGTGATCTCCCCAACACACGGAACAAAAAAAAGGCGCAACTTCGTTCCGAGGGACAGGAGAAGCCATAACCTGGTAGTAGCACCTACTCTAGCCCGCCAATCTGGATCATTTCTCGAGAGTGTGCGGGTTTCCGCAAAGCGGGCGTAGCTTCTATTGGCGAGCGAAGCCTAGCCTAGAAAAATGAAAATTCGACGAAGAACACAAAAGCGGGCGTGGAAGGGGCGGGGCTACGTGTTCTAGTAATAAATGCATGGCTATGAGTAATTCGTTCTGTGAAGTGTGGATGTGGAAAGAACGACGTTGAAGGAAGTTATAAGAAGTCAAAACTTGCAGTGACTTCATTGAAAGTGGGTGGAGTCATATTTGTGTCGATACCAATCCTTTTCAGTTGAAGTGTGTGTGCGACTAGCGAAAGAAAAAAAAGGACGAAGAATCAGATTTCCTCTATCCTAAAGAATGAACTTCGCTTATTTACCTCTACATGATACCAATGTTGTTCACCATTTATACATCCGACATTCTACGAGATCCGTGACCAGCAGAAGCAAGATGGAAGGACCACGGCATTCAAGCTATAAACCAAGAACGGAAATGTTCAGAGAAGCAACTCAACCGGCCTTCAATCGCACACTTCTCATTTACCCCCTTGGCACACTTAGCGTTCTTACGACGCTGCATTTACTTATAGTTGCCTTACGATTCTATCGCCTGCGAACAGTGGGTGATCCATCGGGTGGATGTAATGTAGTTTGGCGCTCTTCAGAGCATTTTTAATGAATGAAAAATGGAATGAATGGAAAAAAGAGCGGTTTCAATGGGAAGTGACCAGCTGCATGCATTCAAGGGTAAAATCAGTAATGCAGAAGAAACGGACACCAATACCTCCGTTATCAAATCCGTGAGTGATTTCGTGCCCTATCGTAGCTCCAAGTCCTCCGTAGTTGAGCGCTCTGTGAAATCTCTACATGTTGTTCACTTCAAACGACTGTATATCTCAAGGTTGGATCCAATTTTGAGTTGAAAAAGTGGACAAGGTTGACTGGCATTTGAATGAGTATTCCCACTGTTGCGCTGCTATATCGCCATATGCAGGGGAGGGGGGCAAAAAAAGTCACTTTTTCCTTGACTTTCGAGGCGCTATACTTTATTGAATTCTGATCGGACATTTCTACCACCATATTAAAGAGCATATTAAATACTATCATGATACTCCGCCACAGCCTTCTGGAGGAGCGCCATCGAGAGATTCTGCCACGCGACCGCCTGAGTTCAGCGAGATCGTTGATTTCTCCGCCACTGTAGACCACCCTATTGAACTCCGCCCGAACCAGGTAATTGAGGGGGTTCAGTTCAGGTGACCTGCTTAGATATTCCATCTTCTTCAGGTACTCAACGCCCTTCCATTCCAAGTAGGCGAGAGTTTTTTCGATTCCATGTGGTGTCACCCAATCCTGTAGCAGTACAAAGTTTCCAAGAAGGTACGGGCGACGACATGTGGGGAGGATATTCTTCTCGAGTTGCTCGATGTAACCGCCAGCGCTCACCTTTCGGGTCGGGGTTCTTAGAGAAAATATTGGTCTTTCCATTCCAGGTACGTCCGGTCCATACCATCAACCCGCGCCTTGGCGACTGCGGTGAAGATGATGTCCTAGACCGTAGCGACGTTGTCGGAGCTGCTCGATGTTGGAGGTCTTCCAGATCGAGAGTACTGGTCTCCAGGTAGCTATCCATGGGTGACTCCATACTAGAAGTTTCGCAGCTGTTTGGAGGTGACATGAATTCCAAAGGTCTTCTCCAGTCAGGCTGCGACTGGAGATGACTTCATATTTTGGTGTACATGAAGGTGATGGGCGAGAGCCAGCTCCTGCTTATCGAGGAACATCTTGGGTATCTTCCGCCCTGGTACTCGTATCCACGTCCTCTGTCTGGGCTGCGAAAACTTTGCTGATATGTGACTCGGTCGAAGTGACTTTTTTTGGCCTCCCCTGTACATGACTTCGATACATATAAGTGCAGTCATAGACCCTCTGAAAAAAATTTGTACGAAGCGCTTACTGGAGCGCAGTCGCGATAACATTCTTCTATTAGTGAAGACGATAGGTACAGTCACCGTCTTTCCAACCAAGGTTGTGAGCCCCCTACAACTGGCTGCATTCCAAGCCACTTTCCTCCTCCTGCCTTACGTCCTATCAGTTGTAGGATTATGACTGTAACTGAAGGGTTGTTTTTTTTCATAGGGCAAGTCTATTAAATGTTTACCTTGGAAAGGAATGATGAAAGAAAGGCGCTTGAAGAAAAGCGGCAGGAAATTCTGAAATGCGAAAGCATAAGAGGGCCTGCTTCTGAAACCCTCAGTACAGTTGAGCATTGACAACATTGACTGCTTACTTATCGAGTTCGAGGTGGAGTCGTAGTAGGCGTTGACAACTGCAGCATTGAAATCGTACTCAGTTCGATCGACGGGCTTAGAAAGGCGCTTCAAATCGTATTCTATTTTCCATCGTGACAGTTTCTCCACCATCTGGCTGTACGAATCCGTTTCTTCTACGGAGAACTGAAAGTTAATTTGTGCAGCATCAGAAAAAAATGTCCGACACCAATCCAGAATCAACTGCAAATACATTATGAAGGTTCGCGTTAGATGCTTATGATTCTCAAGTATCCAGTCAAAAGCCTCTTTCATAGTCACTAACGTTGTCATAGTAGTTGTCCAATTTCTGCTGTTGAGGATGAACTCTGGATACGCGACTTTAATCAACATCTCTTGCAATTTCCCAGAAGCAGCCTGGAACAGAATGCTCAAAAGGTCTCCCAGCAATATTAGCTGTCTTACAAATTTCCAATGCGAAAGTAGTCCATAGACTAAGTGTGCGAATTTTTTGTCGGATCGGACCCCTACAGTTTAGAAGAACGTTTCTTGGTGGGTTCTCTCCCACGATCTCCATAATGTTAAAGATACCTTCAACTGGTATCGGGGCAATCTTCGCATATTTTGGCTCGAGTATAAGGCAACCTGTTCATGCAGTTCATCATGTGTTACATGATGATATATACGTGTGTCTATGTTATGAAAAAGATCCGCGTGGTTCTGTAATCTCATAGCTAGAGCTCGTAGAAAGAAGACAAACGGTTCGTCGTAACGGAGGGATACACAGTTAAGGACGCAAGCTCTCGCTATTTCATTGCTGAATATCCTGGAAATGGAAAGACTAGCGTCAATACACTGCTTCTTGCTTACACAAAGTGAGCAGAAATGTACCAAGTCCTCTGAGTGACCTCTCACGTGGTTACACAGTGTGCTCTTTATATTGACACGCCGACGAAGGTTCCAGTGGCATGATTACTGTGCAGTTGTGAACATCAGCTTCAATTATGTCTCTATTTAGTTTCACACCATTCTGCATTGAAACTTGCCTCTGGAAGTTGAAGACCTGCGTTGGAAACTGTTCAAGAATGTTTTAGTTTCAGAGGAAATCGCCCACGACTGACCTTTCAATAAGAAACTCTTGTGTAACTTTTTCGGAACCGTTTTTCTTTTGTCCCTGTTCCTGCGTTGTTCTGTGTCCCGTGAAAGCTTGAAAGCTCGCATCCTCGAAGAATTTCCATTGTTAAATTTGGTACTAAGCCGCGAAACCCATTCGAAATTGTTCTAGTAAATGCCATATGGAAGCTTTCGACGGAACACCACACGCGCTTGTCATTTTGTAAAGCTTTGTCGATTGAAGGGAATATGAATTTGGAAAACTTTCTGAAGTTCGGACTGATGATTCTCGTTTTTATTTAGCAGAAGGAGGGTGATACATAAGTTGATACATAAGTAATGGCGTTTTTTTTCCTCACAAACACGAATCTTCACTACTGGACAGCACAGCCAGTTCTACCATCTTATATGCGTTCGATAGACATTTCCGCTCTGATATAGTGTAATTGCCTCCACATCTTTTTGATTATATCTTTTATTTATTAATTTATTTTTATTGTATTCTGATGATTTATTCTATTAAAATGGAGGTCGTGTCGATCACAAAACTGAGTTTTTTGAAAGTTTATCTCTTCTCAGTATTACCGAGAAAGCAAAAATTGTGATATCTAGATCAAGGAAAAAGTCTGCATGTACAGCATGAAGTGGTTCAAGCGATTCTGTGATGGGAATCGGACCTCGCATCGCATGGGGTGCCCTCTTGGGGAGCGACTGTCTGCGAAATACCCCCACCAAGTTTAAAACATGCTCAAAAGCGCAGCTGAGGGTGACGCTTGATGATGACAGGAAGCATTCCCGACCCATAAGTGTTCCCTATCCCTGGCATGAATCGTCGTTAAAATGGTGCTTCAGTAAGCTATCAGTTGAACTCGATGGAACATTAACTTCAACTGGCTTCCAATATCTGTACCTATTCACGCTGTCACAGCTCTGTTGACTACAGAGCTCATAAAATACCACGCGTCCTTGAGGGAACAAAGCCCTGTGCTGAAGATTTCTCAACGGATGCTTGACCTATGGTCGCCAACTTATGAAATAATTCCTCACTGTTACTACCACTCGCAATATGCGCTTCATGGGGCTTCCTCTCCAATGCCACCACCCCTCCCATCATCATTTTCTGCCGCCGACCAATAATGTACACATGCTGGTCCATGTACCACTTCCTGGAACCAACATCCCTCTGATACCGTGACCCACACTGCAACTTTCGTTGCCCTCTCTTTCTAGGGTCCCTCAAAAGCTCTTATCAGCCCTTACCACTTCATTTTACCAGTCAAAGATGTTCCTGCCTGCTCCCAATTTCCTTCTATTAATCAACGTCCCACTACTATTACCCACGCTACGAGTTTGAGGACTGTGTGATGAGGTATTAAATAACTCGAATATAAAATTGTCGGAAACCGAAAGCTATACCCGTGGTCACTGTGCAACGTCTCCGAGAAAAAAATTTCATGACAAAGAAGTTAGCTGTTTTGGCAGTAGCAGCTGGGTGGTGTTGGAAAAGCGTTATCTTTTCCTTCCGTTGTTGGAACGGTTCGCATTTTCATTCCTCAGTGAATTATATATGATTATCCCAAGTAGCTCACTGAACGAACGAAAGTGTCAGGGTAGGTGACCTGCCAATGGAAGAAAAGGAGAAGGGAACTTCAAAAACGCCAAAACTCGTTGCTGACCGTAACAAATGTATAGTTGTCGACCATGTGAGTCTGTAGATCGAAGCTGAAGCACTTTTTCATTTACTGCTTTTCCCTTTTCGATCGTGTTAAGAAAAAAAAAGCGGTGTCCGTATCTTAACTGTATTAATCCCAGTTTTAAACTCTTCAGCTCTTCAGAAAATGATTCAAATTCCTTAGAGGATGCGATCAGAACACCAGGCAACTGAAATTAGTGGGAGAGTTTTGTTCTACAAAAAAGAACCTTCTTTGTAGCATTGTCCATCCAGTCTTCTTCGACAAGCATTCCGTGGAACGCTTCTTTTATATCGTTCGCCATATCCAACGTTGAGTTCTTTGATGCCTACACCAATATTACAGCATGACATGAATTCAACGAGATTTCTGCAGTATTTTCAGAGAACTACCTGGTCGAACGCTTTGCTGACATAAATGGCACTAGCAGCGTAATTCGTTCTTCGCATGGTCTGAGATGTGCACTCCTTCCATCGGGGAGTTTTCAGCTTCTTTCCGTACATCACTCGATCGAATTCCTTGGTTAGATAGAAATGAGAAATCACTTCTCTCTCGAATGTATTTAAAAATAGTGAAACCGAAGTAACTTTTCATCATTGCAATGCCAAATTTTTGAGAAAAAAACAAACATTCCAAGCGTTTGAAGATCTTAACAAGGGAGGTCGTTCAGGGCGTGGTGAGCTTTTTCAAAATGGTCTTGTGCATATTGTAGGGGCACATACGAGGACCAGAAAACTGAGGTTCATTTTCGCTGCGCGCTTCTACGAATAAAAAAAACGTAAAAAATAGGTCGATGGTTCGGATCCCGAGGACAAAATTTTGCTTTTCTACAGTTTTTCATTTTTTGGGTCCATGTTTGTCTAAATAATTGGTCCTAACAAAAACATTCACGATAAACTGAACAATCCTACTTTTATGGAGCAAAACTGCTTTTTCGTTCGAATTCGTTAGTATGAGCAGAACTGCTTTTTCTCTCGAATTCGTTAGCAATCACAGACTCAACTCTTCGGCGCTTGCCAGATGGCACTGGCTCCAAAAATACCGTTGAGAGCAAGTTTTGAGCCAAAAAAAATTTTGACTTTTCGGGTTGTAGGTGACCGACCATTTGGTCGGCAGTGTGAGCGGAGTCTCACATCTTCGTAACAGCGATGACGTATCGTTGACGCTACGGACCCCGGACAACCCAATAAGCAAACCCAAGAAGGTCAAAACAATTGTTTTGACCGAAAATTCGTTTTTAGTGGTAATCAGTGGTCCTGATCACAAATATAACACCTATTCTTGGCGTCCACGCAATCTGGCGACAGAATAGCGCTGAACGTATCCCAACGTTCAGCATAATCCTGTTCAATGGTGCGTGGAAATCAAAATACTTGAATAGCACTGACTCATGGGGTATAGCTACTCAGAATGTGCCCATAAATGGCAAATATCCGAGTTATATTCATGCGCAGACACTAATGGAAGCGAGAACAGCGAAACCTAAATGCAAAAGCCGCAGCTCAAGGGGAGTCGAACCATCAACCCCAGCCTCACTGTCTGATTCTCCCCTCTATCCGCTAGACCATCCGATCGTAACGCTGCACTACCACTCTAATTGTTGAAGAAACCATTGCAAGAAGCCGTTCACCCTTGAGCACGTGACCCAAGTTGGAAGCTCATTTTCGCTTCGATTCAAATAGCCCCTTTATAAGGACCCCCCACTCAGCAACTGGTCAAAGTTGCAAGTGACCTACGCCGCATAGAGGCCCAGAACGAAGCAGATTCCAAAGATTTTTTCACTCGTTTTTACCTTTCCTGGAAGCGCGCAGCGAAAATGAAGCACACTTTTCAGGTCCTTGCATGAGCCCCTACAATATGCAAAAAACCGTTTTCGAAAAGCGCACCACGCCCTGAACGACCTCCCTTGTAAGTGTGAGAGTAAATGCGACCCTGGTGCCGTACTCGCCCGAGAAAGCGTGTGGTG